CAAACGTGTATTTGTGCGCTATTTAATCTATTACAACAATGTCAAAAGTACAGCTATTCCTTTTTCAGGTATTTTGGCCTTGAACGGATTTCCGATTCCTGAGTGATGTTTATGCATGGTCAGCTGTTTTCATTTTACCAATAAACTCTGCTCTTAACCCGTTTTTGTATACAGTGACAGCAATAATCGGGAAGAAGGTAAATCATTGGTTCGCGTCCCTGAAGATAAATGATACAAATGTCACTTAATTATTTTTGGAATATCAGAAAGGAATATCAATTGCTTACATATGTGCTAGAAAAAAGTCTTTCAACCTCCTCCACCCGTGTAAGATATGTCGCGTGTTTTAAATGGCGTATCCCGCGCGCCTCATATTATAAATAGAAGAGTATCTGGCAAGCATAGTATTGTTTTAATATACGAGTCAATAATTTCAGTAATGAACGTGCACGAATGATATATTCAATCTATCAAGTACCAACATTAAAGACTGTTAAAAGTGAAAACGGTTAACTTTTCATTGACGCGCCTATAGTGTAACCCTAACATTTTGCGCGTTTCAAGCTATGTTTATGTAATGCAAATGATGTCACGTCAAAATATGTACACGTCCGTGCAATACTGTCTTTGCGGGGTCGCAAAAAACGGCACGGGTATGTGTTAATAGCAAAAACAAGAGGGCCATGATGGCCCTGAGGTCGCTCACCTGTATATAGGCCCCCAACCCCTATGCATATAGGGAAAATCAGTGATCCCCCGGGGCGGGGCCAATTTTGACCCTAGGGCTTTTATTTGAACAAACTTGGTAGACACTTATTAGAATATGTTTCATGCTAAATATCTTAGCTGTAGCTCTTTTGGTTCTTTAAAAGAAGATTTTTTAAGTTTTTACTATATGTATATAGGGAAAATCAATGACCCCTCGGGGCGGGGCCAATTTTGACCCCAGGGCTTTTATTTGAACAAACTTGGTAGACACCTATTAGAACATGTTTGATGCTCAATATCTTAGCCATAGCTCTTTGAATTTTTTAAAAGAAGATTTTTTTAAGTTTTTACTATATGCATATAGGGAAAATCAATGACCCCCTGGGGCGGGGCCAATTTTGACCCCAGGGCTTTTATTTGAACAAACTTGGTAGACACCCATTAGAACATGTTTCATGCTAAATATCTTAGCTCTAGCTCTTTTGGTTCTTTAAAAGAAGATTTCTTAAGATTTTACTATATGCATAAAGGGAAAATCAATGACCCCCCGGGGCGGGGCCAATTTTAACCCCAGGGCTTTTATTTGAACAAACTTGGTAGACACTTTTTAGAACATGTTTCATGCTAAAAATCTTAGCTCTAGCTCTTTTGGTTCTTTAAAAGAAGATTTTTTAAGTTTTTACTATATGCATATAGGGAAAATCAATGACACCCCGGGGCGGGGCCAATTTTGACCCCAGGGCTTTTATTTGAACAAACTTGGTAGACACTCACTAGAAGATGTTTCATGCCAAATATCTAAGCTCTAGCTCTTATGGTTTTTTACAAGAAGATTTTTTAAGTTTTTACTATATGCATATAGGGAAAATCAATGACCCCCCGGGCGGGGCCAATTTTGGCCCCAGGGCTTTTATTTGAACAAACTTGGTAGACACCTATTAGAACATGTTTGATGCTAAATATTTTAGCCATAGCTCTTTGAGTTCTTTAAAATAAGATTTTTTAAGTTTTTACTATATGAATATAGGGAAAAATCAATGACCCCCCGGGGCGGGGCCAATTTTGACCCCAGGGCTTTTATTTTAACAAACTTGGTAGACATCCATTAGAACATGTTTCATGCTAAATATCTTAGCTCTAGCTCTTTTGGTTCTTTAAAAGAAGATTTCTTAAGATTTTACTATATGCATAAAGGGCAAATCAATGACCCCCCGGGGCGGGGCCAATTTTAACCCCAGGGCTTTTATTTGAACAAACTTGGTAGACACTTATTAGAACATGTTTCATGCTAAAAATCTTAGCTCTAGCTCTTTTGGTTCTTTAAAAGAAGATTTTTAAGTTTCTACTTTATGCATTTAGGGAAAATAAATGACCCCCCGGGGCGGGGCCAATTTTGACCCCAGGGCTTTTATTTGAACAAACTTGGTAGACACTCAATAGAAGATGTTTCATGCCAAATATCTAAGCTCTAGCTCTTATGGTTTTTTAAAAGAAGATTTTTTAAGTTTTTACTATATGCATATAGGGAAAATCAATGACCCCCTGGGGCGGGGCCAATTTTGGCCCCAGGGCTTTTATTTAAACAAACTTGGTAGACACCTATTAGAACATGTTTGATGCTAAATATTTTAGCCATAGCTCTTTGAGTTCTTTAAAATAAGATTTTTTAAGTTTTTACTATATGCATATAGGGAAAAATCAATGACCCCCCGGGGCGGGGCCAATTTTGACCCCAGGGCTTTTATTTGAACAAACTTGGTAGACACCCATTAGAACATGTTTCATGCTAAATATCTTAGCTGTAGCTCTTTTGGTTCTTTAAAAGAAGATTTTTTAAGTTTTTACTATATGTATATAGGGAAAATCAATGACCCCCCGGGGCGGGGCCAATTTTGACCCCAGGGCTTTTATTTGAACAAACTTGGTAGACACTCACTAGAAGATGTTTCATGCCAAATATCTAAGCTCTAGCTCTTACGATTTTTTAAAAGAAGATATTTAAAGTTTTTTCTTTCGGTTGCCATGGCAACCAGAGTTCTGCATGGAATTAAATTCTTTGAACAATTTTTAAAGGTGACCACCAAAGGAACATTCCTGTGAAGTTTGGATGAAATTGGCTTAGTGGTTTATGAGGAGATGTCATTTAAAGTAAAAGTTTACGGACGGACGGACGGACGGACGGACGGACGACGGACGGACGCCGGACGAAAAGCGATCACAAAAGCTCACCCTGTCACTTTGTGACAGGTGAGCTAAAAAAAAGATAAGTGAGATAACTAGCTCAACGCAAAAGTGCCAAATGAATCCAAATAGTTGTATGTTTAATTAGGTTAGAGGATTGCATAATTGTAGACAGGAAATCTTACAGTTATCAACAGTGATCATACAATATATCAAAAGTGGTTATTACAAAAAACAACAACATTTAACTCACTACAGTGTTGAGCAAAACCTCTAGACGCCTGCAGAAATCATGATCAGAAAGAAGAAAAAATATCGTTTTTCGACTATTTTTACATTTTTCATTCATGTTCGTATATTAATCGATGTCAAAAGATGAATTTAAAACATCTTATACTGCACTTTGGGAGGCGAAAAGGCGATATTTTATTCTCAAAGCGTGTTATACGGTATATACCGGAATACGGTATTTAGTGTGTTGCTACAACACATGAAATTAAAATGTCGAAAGTAAATACATGTAGTGCTATAATACCTTTGTCGAATGAATTTGTTAAATTTGTAACTAATTATACCTGTTATTTACTATAATTTAATAATTAACGAATTCATTATACCAGTCTTCAAGTTTTAAATATTAAATAAGTGATAGTAGTGCCTTTAATACGGACAATTCAGATGTTATATTTTTGCAGTTGAGCAATCGTTTTATTTGAAATCAGTGTTTTACTTTGTATTTTAGAGTTTTAATCCAAGCCTTGATGAGCAGAGTCGAACAGCGGTCCAGAAAGGTAAATACTTAGCTGTAATCAGATTCAGTTCTATAATTCTTTATTTGCTTTTTGGGGGGAAGAACATTTTAAAAGTTATAAACATGCAATGTAATATCAAGACAATAAGAAAAAATAAAACGTCTCGACAGATGAAAATGAGAAACGAAAGATGAAGAACTCTAACTGATTGAGACGGTACATATTTTTTTATAAGCGTCCAACTTAATAAGTCGTTGATAACATTTCGTCAGCACGGGCAATGCTTATCCAGATATTTATAAAGACGACGATTAAAGCAACTCCTCTGAGTTTATAAAGCCTAAAACATAAAAGTTCAATGTCCTACAAAATTCAGCAGGGGTACTTTTAACAGAAAAATGCACAAAAGATAATTGAGAACTATTCTCAGATAAATTTGAAAATCAGTTTGTGTGCTATTTTAAACCGATTTGAGCGAAATTCGTTGCATCGCTTTCCAAAATGTTGATTTGTTTTTGCACAAATAAAATATTCTAAAAACAATGGAGTATGTGAACGATCTTCACTTCTGTGCACAAAATAATGTTCTCGACCTGCATCAAATGGAACATTAATTTCGAACAATTATTTCCAATCCCGTAATGTCAAACAACCTTAGTAGAGTATCTTAAATAGTATCTTTCAAGTTAGCGATGTAAATCTGATATACGAAGCATCACATAGACTTTTGTTCGAATTGTTTCAAATGCAGATAGCCTGTTAAAATATAATGATTGTATACATAATATAATTACAGCAGTGTCCGGGATAAACAAATTACAATAATGTATAGTTCAATTGAACGTTTACTTTTTTAGAAATTGGTAAAGCCATTTTGGAATACCAGCAATTGAGCAGATCTGTGCGGATGATAAGTGAACTTGTACCAGTTGGGACGAAACGTAGTATTCAAGAAATTCTTGATGATGACAGTTGCTTGTCAGTCAATGTTGTTGCAGCTCTGTGCAAAGAACTTGCCGATTATCTACGTCTTTTGCATGAAGGTTTTATTGTTTTAGATCTGATATCTGTGGAAAACATTTACATTACAGTGTTTAAAACAAAGGTACTTACACAATTTTATAAACAATTTCAATTTCAATTTATTTTTACAATAGCACACATTTCATGATTTTCAAAAACATGAGCAAATCAAATATCCAAACGTATAAAAGAAATATGTAACTGTGATTAGGTATTGACTAAAAACAAACAATAATAATGATAATAAAACATGGGGGCAACAATATAGATTTATGTTTTGTAAGCTGATATATTGTATAATATAATTATACCAGAATTTTAGTTTAAAGTTATTTGTGAATAAATATTTGGTACCGTTTGATTGAAAAAAGTCACCCAATAGCGCAACCCTGGGGTAACGATTGATATTGTCTACAACACTCATTAGCTTTTCAAATTGTATATAATAAAACTCAGTTATTTAAGCATTGTCATTGATTATTGCGTGCTTAATAGGCTTTATAATGGCAAAACATTTAGTCACTACATGTTCACATGTTGAAATGGTTCTTGCTTAGTGTAAAGTCAAATTGTTGAAATGTTCAGCAATTAAAAAAGAAAAGCTATTAATAATTTTGAAATATCTTATATACGTCAAAATGATGATAATTTTCAATATTATACGCGGAAACCCTCAATGTTTTTTTATGAAGCTGTTCATATATGTTTTTGTTGAAGATAATTATTCCGCAAATATGCTTATAATGAAGAGAAATAATATTGCCATTGACTTGTCTTCCTCCCGTTTTCTTTTAACATTTTTACTTTATTGCACAGTTTCATCAGCCTTAATTAGTTACAATTTTACATTTTGTCAATAGGTTAACAAACCAATCGTTGTAATCGATGCCAAAGCGTTGTTAGCTGCTGATGAAAGAGCTCTACAGGAAAATATTCTCCAATTTGGTAGCCTCCTGCGAAAGCTTATCTTAAAATGTGAAAAGGGTTTAAAGTAAAGAGTGGTATTAGATGGAAGGAAGTTGTCTCTGTTACGAAGCATATGTACTCAGTAATATATAAGAGTGAGACAAAAATAAGTGTTGGAGCACCATACTGCTTCTACACTGTCGACAGTACAGACATTTCATTCGTACTGGATGACGTGAATAGGAAATTGAAATTATTTGACACTTTATTTCTACGTATAGATATTTTGAATTTCAAGTGACGTACTGTTTTTGTTTTAGATATCTTTGTACATAAACGTTCATTGTACCGTCAATATATAATAAAAATATCATACTGTGTCAAATTACAATCGGAACAACTCGGCCTATATCTAAAATAATTCTCGGACATAATACGGATTGAAATTACACAAATGTAGTTCTTCAACGTGGTTTAAGATGTAATAAAGACAGGGGGCGCATTCTTTGCTAAAATGTGACAATTTTTTGTATCTAACATCCAAAGGAATATACAGAAGAATATTTAGGTAAAATAATGATTTAAAATATGTATTTCAATTATAATCAATCAAAAAATGCCAACAGAAAATCAAACCCAAATTTATGTCAACAGGTTTCTACAACCATCATAATAAGTATATGAAAAATGTACTGCTTACATTTATGTCTATGAATTTACTTAATTAATGTGGATTTTTACTCGATTTATTTTGGGAAAAATAAGTTTACAACTCTTGGCATTTCTAATTCCAACTTACTTAGCGTAGGTTAGACCAACATACCTTATCCGTTCTGTGTAATCTTACTTTTGTGTTCGATCGTGTTCTTATCCGAAGTTTGACGGAAAGGGCAGAGAAGTTGCGATTGTGTCAAATCATTGTTGTTTTCATGTTTTTGTTTTAAATACGTTTGTTCTGCTATTGTGGTTGCTATTTTGTCAATTTTAATGGTATTTTTACTTATTCAATATTCATAAAATAGTATAAAAATCAATTTTAACCATGGGATACGTTACCGCTGTTAAAAGATATATTCATTATTTTTTATTTTATTTTGTAGATGCCGTTGTCAATTTTAAATCAGTGTTTTCCAATAACCGAGTGATTGATGTTGTAAAATTCAATTAGTGGTTTTTTTATTAATATTTGTTATTTTATTAATATTTGTTATTTTATTAACATTTGTTATTTTATTAATATTTGTTATTTTATTAATATTTGTTATTTTATTAATATTTGTTATTTTATTAATATTTGTTATTTTATTTATATTTGTTATTTTATTAATATTTGTTATTTTATTAATATTTGTTATTTTATTAATATTTGTTATTTTATTTATATTATTAAACTTATAATGTATAATGTTGTCATCATAGTATCAATGTTGTTTATTGTGACAGTGCTGTGTATTCTTACTATTCTTTTAGAGGTTATTTTCCGAAGTTTGACGGAAAGAGTCGAGAAGGTGCAATTGTATCAAATCATTGTTATACATGTTCTTATAAGTGTTGTATCTTTTGTTGTATATGAATTATTTGTCAGAGAGGAGGGGTGGTAGTTATTGTGGTAAAGATTAAAATCCTGGCAACATTGGTTCGAGTCCTACTCGTTTGATATCTATGTACCCCTTGTGAAACCAGTACAAGTTATTTGGAAAGTTCAAAGAGGAGAATTCGATAGCTGACAAAGAAAGAGTTCTTTAGAGGAAAATATCCGATACTTTGGAAACTTTCTTCGTAAACAAATTTCAAAATGTAAAAAAAGGTAATGTGTGGTACACAAAATTTTACAATACAAATTGCAGATATTAAGTATTAGAATCAATAATGTTGAACATGGGATACGTTACCGCTGTTAAAACAATATATTCATTTAATGTTTTTATTTTGTCGATGATGTTGTCAATTTTAAATCAGTGTTTCCAATAACTAAGTGATTGGTGTTTTAAAAATTTAATCATTTGTTATTTTATTAATATTTGTTATTTTATTATATTTGTTATTTTATAATAACCTTATATTAACCTTATTATGTAAAATGTTGTCATCATAGTATCAATGTTGTTTATTGTGATAGTACTGTGTATTCTTACTATTCTTTTAGAGGTTATTATCCGAAGTTTGAAAGAGCCGAGAAGGTGCAATTGTATCAAATCATTGTTTTACATGTTCTTATTAGTGTTGTATCTGTTGTTGTATATGAATTATTTGTCAGAGAGGAGGGGTGGTAGTTATTGTGGTAAAGATAAAAATCCTGGCAACATTGGTTCGAGTCCTACTCGTTTGATATCAATGTACCCCTTGTGAAACCAGTGCAAGTAAGTTAGTAATTTCAAAGAGGAGAATTCGTTAGCTGACAATGAAAGAGCTCTATAGAGGAAAATATCCGATAATTTGGAAACTTTTTTTTTCGAAAACTTATTTCGAAATGTAAAAAAGATTATGTGTGGTACACAAAATTGACAATACAAAATGCGGATCTTTAGTTTTAGAATCAATAATGTTGAACATGGGATACCGCTGTTAAAACAATATATTCATTTAAGGAGATTCCGCTTTGTCAGCCATGTTTGTTTTCACAAAGTCTGTGAAAGTAGGCCAAAGTTCTTATAACAAAAAACCCACATTATTATATGATGAGCCATTTGCAAGTACACTTCCAGTTCTATGTTTTAAAGACTATTTTAAACAAAACTAAAAATGATAACAATAAGAAAATTTACCTTGAATGGGCTAAATTTCTGGAGACCAAAAACATTAGGTTGCAAATTTTTATGCACATTTCATGAATGGCAAAATGCTTTTTAAAGTCTGTTTTAGTGCCTACAAAAGCTATTTTTTGCAGAAAAAAATAAGAGCTTTGTTGTCATATGAATTTTGGCCTACTTTCACTTTGGACAGACTTTAGTGAAAACAAACATGGCTGACAAAGCGGAATCACCTTAATGTTTTTATTTTGTCGATGATGTTGTAAATTTTAAATCAGTGTTTTTTTCCAATTACTGTGTGACTGATGTTGTAAAAATTCAATCATTTGTTATTTTATTACTTTTTGTTATTTTATTAATATTATTAAACTAATTATGTAAAATGTTGTCATCACAGTATCAATGTTGTTTATTATTCAATGAGGAGAATTCGATAGCTGACAAAGAAAGAGCTTAATAGAGGAAAATATCAGATAATTTGGAAACTTTCTCGAAATGTGAAAAGGATTATGTGTGGTACACAAAAATTTACAATACAAAATGCAGATTTTTAGTAACATAATTTATTATATTGCTTATTTTTAATATACATGTAGTGATTTTTTTATTATCAGCATCTTTATCTATATACGTTTAAGGTATTGTCAAGATATTATTAATATTTTATTCAGTGTCAAATCATATTTTGATGTTTTTGGATAAAACGCTTTTACTGTTGTTTCTTCCTTTGTATGTGGAAATTGTACGTTTATGGACATCCTTTAAAGGCCCATAATGCCTTAGAAATGCTTTTATTTTTATTTCACAAAAGCCTTTTAATGTCGGTGCTAAACGTACAGAAATATTCCGGAAATATAGTAAAATGTGAACAAAGTAGTATTATTACTTCCATAACAAATACTAAAACAATCACTACATTTAGTACATATTTTGAAAATGTTAAACAAATATCCTAAAAAACAGTTTTTCAGAAATAAAAATGATAGAATTTCTGAGGCCTAATGGGCCTTTAAACATCTCTTCAGTTGATCAAATTGGAAAATTTGCATTGGCATCAACAATAAATATCCAAGGGGTAATCTGACCTTAAAATTAATTTCAAATATACATATATCTATACAATACAGAATTGATGCGATAAAATATACCATCAAGAGTTTTTAGGTAACCATGCTTACACGATCTAAGTTAAGAATATATATATACAAAACAAACTGTAGTTATATCATGTTTATTGCTAAAAATCTATGTAGTCATTTTAGTGTATTAAATATTGTACGCAAACTGCCTTTGTTATGTTTTGCTTTAAAATCTTATCAGCCGTGTTTTATATACGGCTTGAAATCATCAACAGCGTATGGATGAAATAATTTATCAACATTTATATACATAAAGGTATATTTCATTTCATACCTTAAAAACGATAACCAATGGCACTTCATGCACCGTTTAAACCAAGTGACGTTATAAGAGTTACCATTGGTTATTTCAATCAATAAACCTTCCTTTCTAAAAAAGTCCAAAAATCCATATCAAATGCATATCGTACCCCATAAAGCCTCATTTATTTTTAGAATTATCTGTTTATAAATTCCTGGAAATATACGTGAGTGGCATGTATACACAATCAAGAGCAATCAAATGTGGACAACTGTCTATAAAATTGTTGAAGTAAGAAATAAGTCAGTCCCTGATTTGTGATTTGGACTCGTTTCGTGTAAAAGTAAATTGCTTTAAAGCAGCATTCCTTAAGATTTATGCTTATTTCAAGAAAAGCTGTATACATTATATAAACAAACGTAAATGTCTGTTTAAGTAGGGAGAGTTTGTTATGCACCTCATATAAGATAGTGTAAACAGTCCGTCCTTTGAGCAGTTCAAATCGTTTATTTACGTGTAACTGTCTACTTATTACTCATAAAGTGATTTTAAATGACTTGGTCTGACTTTGTACTTTTTTATGATAAAGCCGAAGTTGTGTTTTCCACATCGTCTAATTACTATTAAATTTTTTTTACAAAATAATTTACATTTTTTTTAGTCAGTTCATAAAAATGTGGCGGACGACCACATATGCTTTATATTGTACGCCAAAAAATATTCTAAGTGTTTAAAAAACGAAAGCACTTAATAATTTATATCTTTCATTTAAAACTTTGTCATTTCAGATACAAATTATTAAAATAAGTCACCACAATTCACAGAAAATACAGTGACTATGCTTGCTTGAGTAAAAATAAAAGAAATGAAAGCAGTGATAATTTTCACAGCTTGAATGTCAAATAAGAAACATATTGTGAAGCCATGTTTGCGTACGTGCGTACGTATGTTTAGATTTATTTACTAACACGTAATTTTAAAATGCCATGCGTAAGCAATACAGGATTATATTTCGGCGGGTAAACAGATGAGAAACTATACGAGAGGCCAGACACGTGGTACAAGTCAAACTTTAGAAAAGAAAATCTGGAAACAAAGTGATCCCTCGGAAGCATTAATTAAATAAATTTTAAATCCACGACAAATGTAAGAATTCATGTTTGTGCTTGTTTGATTGATTGTACGCCGATTTTAACACATGTTTGTCATATTTCGGCGGTACGTCCATCTCATAATAAAGTCTTACTGGGTTTCTGATAACAATTATTACCCAATTTCTCCACAAGTGGCCGGCTTCTAATCACACATTATTTCTGAATCAACTTTGATTCAATATATCTACTCTGTAATTTAAAAACAAACGGCCGTAGATTGAAAAAATAACATAGTAATAAAGTATAAATAGTGCCTGATATGATGGATTGTTTTAATGATAGGCTATAAGAACACATTTTTTGCTCTTTTCAAACCAAATTCTTAGTAAAGTAAAGTAAAGCTTTAAATTGACCGACAATTTGTTAGACATGTGGTTTTAAAACATAAATTGAGTTTCCTTCCATAAGATGGCAGGAAGATATAGTAACGAACATCTACATTCTATCTTCACCTATTCTCGTATACATACAATATTGTGTCACGTTTTGCTATTGTTAGCTGTTTTTAGCACTATGCTTGAAATATACTGGATTATTGGAAAATCTATTATAAGCCTTTCGGGATATATGGTAATAGCCGACCAATCAAAACCAACGTTTCCTTAAACAAATAATTATGACTGTGCAAAAAGCAGCTTAAAACAGCGAGTTTCTTTATCTCAAAAATACAACAACGTCAAAAATACAACAATGACAAAATACAACTATATTTTAAATATAACTACATTTACTCGTATGTCAAAAATACAACTATGGGAGGCGTTTTGTTTTGCATTCATATTGACATTTAATGAAACGGATACAACTACCTAATTTCTGAAATTTTCGTTTGCTTCATTACAGCTGTGATCCGTGAAAATGAGTCGGCTTCGATGAAATTGTATGTAAACTATAAAAACGCATGTATGTTCCAAGTAAAACGATTGTTGAAAAGTTGAAAGTAAAAGAAAAAAAGTAAAATCAGTGGCTATGCATGTATATAGTTGATAAAACAACCCATATTTAAATCTGAAAATAGTAAAATTTCTCGCAGGCATGTGCAATGTAATGAATTCGTATAAGCAAAATATTAACTAAGTTATTACTGTGTTGATGTGACGTAAAAACCCAAAACAAACAAAAACAAACTAAGTTAAGACAAAGAACTTTTAAATTGTATATTTTTTGTTGTACTTATATTTCTTAAAGATGAAATTAACAGGAACATAATGAGTCAGTAATGTTTCAAGTATACGTCAAATAATATATGTACCTTAACCAACAAAACACAACGGAAATGTGCCTTGTTCTGTATTCAAGCGTGTATGTTTATGTAATCATTTGAATACCTACATTTGGTAGTATTGTAAAAGAAACAAATATATCCTGAAATTGTGTCAATGGCGCTGTGAATGGTACAGACACACGCATGTAATTTTACTTAACTGTTTTTAATCCAACATTTCATCTGTCTGCCATTGAGTAATTATGTCGGAGTATTTATATTTTATTAATATTTGGGACACTGAAACTCGACAGCAAAACAATCAGCAATAGGCCTACAACATGTTCAAGTCTTCATCGTCCAGCAGCATTTGTCATAATGGTTCCATTAAAAATAAAAACAAGTATTTCAAGTAAATGCACAAATAACATTAATGAAAGAATTGCAGTGTTATTCCTATTGTTGTAAATCTCGAATAGATTGCTAGAAGATGCGGGGTCATAGTAAACAAGTGATACTGGTAGCACACTCGCGCAATATA